GTGAATTTGTCCAATTTACTTTTAAGGCCTTTAAAGATGGCAGCCAGCACTACATCTTGCAGCAACAAACTTCATGGCTTAACAGTGTGCTGTGTGAAGGGTACTGGGCTCAGCAGGGGAGCCCCAACTTTCCCTGCAGAAGGCCCTGAATTAAATCCCTGGCTTCTCCAGGTAGGGCTAGGAAAGAACACAGCCCAACATCCCACGGAGCCACTGCCAGTGCTGACAACCTGGATTAGATGGACTAGTGATCTGACTCAGGCAGTGCAAGGCAGTGCCCGGTGTTTCTGCTTCCTTTTACCTTTCCTGATTCTCTTGCCATTCAACTTATTGGTATGGCTCTGGTTTCTAATATCGATCCACTTTTTCATTTTGATCCACAAACAAGGATTCCACCCCCATTGCGGTCACTGATGACTAACTGGTCTGATTTGGGTTTGGTCTAGAACAAATATAGTGAAAAAGTGCATTTGATGGAGCCACTTGTTCAGAATAAGTAAATGCAGTTGAATTATTGGGGAACGAGCCCCATAGCAATGGTTGCCATTAAGGTTCAAAGAAAGGATCGAAGAATCCTTGAAGAAAGGATTATAATCTGGAAGCTTCCTCGTCTTGAATAGATGTATCTTTCATTTTCCTGATTCCCTGCAGACTCAGTTAGATTCCAAGGATTGCAATGAAATAATACAGAAACAACAAAAGGAATTCAGTTAAAATAAATAGAAACTGAGGCAACAAGTTGCAGTAGGAAAGATTCCTACGTCACCATTCCAGTCAGCCATGCCCTTTATTCTACTCCTCCTGGTTTTCCATTTTTTTCTCCACAACAGTCAATCAGCATCCTGCAGCTAGTGGGCACGCTCAGTCCTTACTGGGGTGTTTTGGGGGACTTACCGTATTTTTCGCTCTATAAGACACGCCTGACCATAAGATGCACCTAGTTTTTAGAGGAGGAAAACAAGAAAAAAAATATTCTGAATCAAATGGGCCCGTAAGCACATTCCCCATCACTTCCCATGGGCTGCACATCTGACAGACTTACTGCACACACACATTCGCTCTATAAGACATTTGCACATCTGACAGACTTACTGCACACACAGACATTTCTCCTTACTTTTGAGGGGGGGAAAGTGCGTCTTATAGAGCAAAAAATACAGTAATTCTTTTTTCCTAGTGTTAGATTGGTACTTCTGAGCTTCCCAGTATCTCCTTTTTCTACATTGGTAGTACTTTTCAGCTACAAAACAAATAGGACTCACAGCTTGAAGATCCAAAATAGAAGGTATTATTTAGTAATGCCTAACAAAGGATGTGAAGAGATTTCTAGACTGGCGAAACCCCATGGGAATGGTGTACAGGGAGCATTATGCAACCACTAAAGAGAATGACCAGATGGGGCTGATGAGTTCTTTAACATTTGTGACCTCGGTTAAAATGACTGGCTGTTTGTTGAATATCATTTCCAGCAACTAGCATGGCTCCTGTCTAGGTCCCATCAAAACAGCTAAAAAAATAAAAATCCTGAGGTAAAAAGAAGCAGTTTATCCCTTATGTCAGCAATATACTGGTTTACAGTGTTAACACTGCACTGAGCAATTCACATATTTTTATAGATCAGTCCTATGAGCAACTGTGAATCACAAATTGGAATTCAGATTGCCGGGAGAAATATCAACAACCTCAGATATGCAGATGATACTATTCTCATGGCAGAAAGTGAAGAGGAACTAAAGAGCTTCTTGATGTGGGTGAAAGAGGAGAGCGCAGAAGTTGGCTTGAAACTCAACATTAAGAAAACTAAGATCATGGCATCCGGTCCTCTCACTTCCTGGCAAATAGATGGGGAAGAAATGGAGGTAGTGACAGATTTCCTGGGCTCCAAGATCACTGCAGATGGGGACTGTAGCCATGAAATTAAAAGACGCTTGCTCCTGGGGAGGAAAGCTATGGCAAATCTAGACAGCATACTAAAAAGCAGAGACATCACCCTGCTGACAAAAGTACATATAGTCAAGGCTATGATTTTCCCAATTGCAATGTATGGCTGTGAAAGCTGGACCATAAGGAAGGCTGAGCGCACAAGGATTGAGGCCTCTGAATTGTGGTGCTGGTGGAGACTCCTGAGAGTCCCTTGGACCACAAGGCGATCAAACTGGTCAGTCCTAGAGGAGATCAACCCTGACTGCTCTTTAGAAGGCCAGATCCTGAAGATGAAACTCAAATTCTTTGGCCACCTAATGAGAAGGAAGGACTCCCTGGAGAAGAGCCTAATGCTGGGAACAATAGATGGCAAAAGAAGAAGGGGACAGCAGAGGATGAGGTGGATAGATGGAGTCACTGAAGCAGTCGGCGTGAGCTTCAGTGGATTCTGGGGGATGGTGGAAGGCATGGAAGGCAGGAAGGCCTGGAGGAGTGTTGTCCATGGAGTCACAATGGGTCGGACATGACTTCTTGACTAGCAACAACAACAACGAGAACTGACACACTTGTTTAGCCAGTAATTTCTTAGCACTAGGACAAGAGTCTGAACTGCAACAGTGCAAGTGTTCTCATAGAAACTTTGTTTTACTCTCTAAAGAACACAAAATAAAAAGGTTTTCAAAGCTGGTGCAAATTCTATTTGCCAACTTTCATAACTTTCTTTTATTGATGAAGTGGCCAATGTCATTTCCTAAATTAGGATTCTATTTCAACCTACAAAATTGTCATTATATGTCCTCCAAGTCATCGGGCTGAAGGTAGAAATGAGTGTTTGGTCAGCATATTATCCAGAACCGCAATACAACTCAATTTAAAGGAATGGTATGAGATCAAAGGAGAAAGTATCATTCAGTTTCCAACAATCTAGAAAATCTCTAGATGAATACACATTTGAATCAGCAGTGCTGCTATTTATACACAGCTGTTTCATCCTAGCCAGTATATTTGGTTACATGGATTTTATTTTTAAAAGTTAATAAAATAATAAGGACTCTAGGTAGTATTAGCCAGGTCTGGCTTTTAAACACTAGATATAAAAGCTCCAGTTTGGTAGGAACACACAACAAGTAACCAAATTGCATCTATTTCAGCGCATGTATTCTGTAATCCATTCATTAGGCCAACTCAAGTTTTCAAACAAGTTTTTGAGATCTCCGCATCTCTTCACTGGGCAAGTTATTACAAAAGGTGACAGAGGTAAGGGAAACAAGCTGAACTGGTGTTGTAGTCATGAAGTCTACATTGATCAGAGTCTGAAGATGAAATGTAGGAGATTATAGACATTCAGATTAGGTTTTGCCAGGGGACATGATGTTCTCAGGTTCCAACTAATTCTGCCTCCAGAGTGCTAGGATAAAAAAATAAGCACAAAATGGTTGGTCCAAGCGGAGCTTTCTTGGTGACATCAATAGAGGGGCAACCAATCAGCTTCTTGCACAGCTGGCTTCTGTTCAGAGCTTGACCTCACTGCAGAAAGGTATGTTCGGACTGAACAGGGTTAAGAACGTGGGAAGGATCATGGTGGACAAGCCCAAGGATCCATCTTGTCCAGCATTCCTTTCACACAGCACCCAACCAACTGCTTATAGAAAATCCACAAGCAGGGTAAGTGAAATCGAACCTTCCCTTCAGGTCCTCTAACTGGTGTACACAGTTATACTGCCCCTGAATGTGGCAGATAAGACTGCAAGATTAGTAGCTATTGATAGGCTTCTCCTCCAGAAATGTGTCTCTTTTCAAACCCACTGAAATCCCTCACTATTCAGTGTGGTACAGAATATTGTGCACTGTGTGAAGAAGTACTTATTTCTCAAAGACATCTTAACTCTATCATTCAAGTTCATGAGAGGAACCGGAGTTCTAGTACAGTGAGGAAGGAAACATTCTCCCTATGCATCTTCTCCATGGTATGCATGATTTTAGACATCCCTGCCACGTCTGTCCTTTATTTCCTTTTTTCTAAGCTGAAACGTTGTAGCCTTTCCTCACAGGGAAGACGCTCTAGGTCCCTAGTTACTTGGGTTCCCCTTTGTGCACCTTTCCCGGCTCACCAACATCCACATTAGAAATACTGCAATTGCACCATAGATTTGAAAGGGCATTATGACAATGGCAGTTTTCTTTTCAATTCCTTTCCTAATGACACCCAACACAGAATATGCCCTGAATCCTGAATATGCCACATTTGTATGCATTTGTATTCATCCTTGTCTTCCATGTCACGGTGTTCATGGCATAAGCTCCCCATATGAGCACAGATGCCCAGGGCATCAGACATATATTTTCCATTCACCATTCTTCCAAGGTGAGTAATTCTTTCTCAGCCTATGCCAGGTAAGATAGCCAATAATTTGTTAAAACTGGACTGCACAGAGTAAGATTCACATCATTATGTTTTTTAAGGAATAGACACTTGACAAATTTTACAAATGTATTTTCCATGTTTCCTTAGATTTAAGTATTACAGACCTATCTACATAGGGCCAACCTTTCTTGTCCTCAAAGGCTGGAAATGACAAGCTTGCTAAACCTGTGCTGCTTTTATGAACCATTGAATGATGAGATTGTTGAAAACGTCTTCATCTGGGCAGCCACAGATTCTTTTCTGACAGACTATCCCCAGTTAGCAAAGAGAGCTGCATTTTTCTTCCAGCTAGGACAGCAGTTAGTGAAATCATGCCTGTTTGTCATTATCTGTCTCATACTAGCTGTAATCGCATCACATTTTTGTTTATATCTACAAGTAATGCAAACCATGCATAACTTAACTTTGACTCAAAAGATTAAAGTAGATACATAATTCTGGCAAATTGCTTGGAATTATGGTTCAACAGCATCTGGTTCAGATATTGTGTAGTAAATTGCTGGAACCAATACTGTGTCCTTATTTTTCCCCCCTCCTATTTGAACCAAAAAAGTATTAAGGAACATGTGTCTTCCATCCAGTTTCCATGTAATAGTTGTATGAAACCCACAAGCTTACAAGGCCTTTGAGAGAAGTAGGTTGAACCAAGATGTTCTGCTGAGCCAATTTTATGCAAGCAAGCCATACAAGGACCTTCACAAAATGAAGTCTTCAGAGCAAAGAGCACAGCAAAACAGACTGTGGCCAGAAATGAGAAGATTTACACAACATAGGACCCACAATATACCGAGCAAGACCATTGGTCCATCTAGTTCAGTGGTCCACCTAGCTCACCGACAGGCAATGGGCCTCTGGGGTGTCAGACAGGGCCCTTTCTCAGCCCTATTTTGGAGATACCAGTAGTTGAACCGGGGACCATCTGCATGCGAACAGGTGCTCTAACAGGGAGTTATGGCACATCCTTGTAGTCTACCACAAGCAGAGTAGGTACACCTAAAGAGAAGCGATAGTAGCAGAAGGTAAACAGAGGTAAACAAGACAGGCAAAACATACACTACAGTATGGCAAGCATGTTTAGCCAGTTTGAAAAATATCCCTTCATTCTATGTTGAAACATGGATTACAAGTTCTTTGACCAGGGCTCTACTCTCTGATTTGCTTGCATACGTATTTTGGATTTCGAATATGAGCAACAGTCATCCATTGGCTGGAGGAAGGAACTAACATATCCATGTTGCCCAGCGTCCTACCTCTCACTGTAACGGCCCTTCACACCCTGAAGGAAGGGGAGAAGTTTTCAAACATCCAAGCCCCAGTAAGCCACAACCAGGGCACCAGAATAGAACAGTCAGTGCTTATAAATAGACATTAAGGTGGTTGCTTGCGGTGTCCAAGTAAGAACTGTCCTCAGGCAACCAGGAAGGAAGGAACCTTTTCTAAATCAAAAGAGGCATTTGCTTCTTGTTTTCACATTGGCTGTCAAGGTGCCACAATATCTGACACAACAGTATGTGTGAGCTAAGGATAGGAAGCCTTTGGGTATATGATCCAAAAAAGATCTAAGAAAGGCAGGATGAGGAGGACTGGTGTGATGAGAGAAAAATAGGTTGTCTTTGTGTGTTTCCAGCCAAAATTATAACTCATCCTATACCTGCTTCATCCAGAAAGTGCTTATTTCATCACAGGGGAGATGTGCAAGTTCCCACTTTGGACAAAACACAGGAAGCATGAGAAGAGGAAGCGCTTCCTCCCATCTGCTTTTAGGTAACTTCCAAAGCTTCTCTGGGAGGTTCCCAGTTGACCAGCCTGCAATAATCTTCTCCTCCCTCCTATATGAAGGGCTGCTGAGTGGCTGGCACAAGTCACAGCAGGAAACAGCTGGGGACTATTATTTTTTGAAAGAAGCCCAATTTGACTGTAGCAGGGGGCAGGAAATTGAGGGGAAAAATCTTAAACTTACGTATTTCTATGTATTCAGTTCTTCTCGTAAGGGTCATTTTGTTTTGTCTGCCCTTCTGGTAGTTAGAATGTGTTGATACCTACATGAAACTGATAGACAGGAGGTACACTCCACCGCTACATATCAAAAACAAAACCATCATTGAGCTGATGGAGTCACAGGATGAGAATGGCAGTCCTCTGAAGCCACAGGCTTGGCACTGCCACAAAGTGATGCCCAGCGCATTCTGCCTCTGTCACACTAATCACAAAATGTCCCAGGTTTGAGGAATAATGCTCGGCGCTTGCATTCTTTCGCATCTAGGAACGCTGCTCAATGGTGGTACTACTGAATGGTGTTAGAGTGTGGGTATTGGTTTTCTTCAAGGACACATCTTCTACAGCATCACAGAAGCATGCCTAGCTTGTGAGAGACAAGCTGCACAAGCAGATCCATGGCACCTCCACCCACATGTAAGTAATGCTCCTCTTTAGTGGGTCCACCATGCGTAAGCCAAAGCAGATGCTTTCCTACAAAAGCTCACAACATAATAAATTAATTGCTCCTGAACATCCCATGAGAGTCTCTTTATTCTTCTCGGAAGCACAGCACATATAACTAATAATTTGATCTGTATGGTTTGTTTTCTGTCTTGATAGCAAGGGTTTGCAGCCCCAACAACATATACAAAAAAGTCTAATATAAGAACATTTCAACTAGTTTTTGTCTAAGAAATAAAGAAGGTGCCATTTGAACACAGGTGAACATTGCTTTGGCTTTGACCGCTAGAAACCACTATTCTTAAAATGGCTGCGATACAATGTGCACATTCTGTTCTGTACTTACCTCTCCTTGTTATGTCAAGTGCAGTATTTTCACTAGGCATCCATATAAAAACCCACATAAAAACCAATTGCTAAAATACTACAATGGGGCTTCCTGCTGGTCTAAATATAAAAATGTGTTAGGCGGGATTTCTGACACATATAAATCTTTCAAACAGTTCATATTTTATCAACAAAATAGACCTTTCTATAAACCCTGAAAATAACTCCTTACCAAGCTGATGTTTCAAATATCTGACCTTTACATAAAACTACCAGAGGGAGAAAACGACATTTGAGCCATTTTAAATATCGTTCTTTCTGCTTTTTTCTTTCATAGGATTAGTTTTCTTTTCTGCACTTTATAGTCACCTAAAAATAAAGTGTGCCTTCCATGTATTATACTGAAAACTTTTGAATTCAAAAGCTAAAAAGAGTAATTCAGAGAGGATGCAAGTAGCGAAATGCCAGCAACTTTAAGATTGCACTGCAAGCAGTAAGGAACTGAAAGAACTATTTATCCTAGCAATGGAGCTTCAGAAGGAATACTAGACTCAGAAAGACACCCTGTCCTTCTTTTTCAAACAGTGTCATAATTTTCATAGTATTCTGCATATTCCTGGCCTGTCATGAACAAATGACAGAGTTGTAAACTACAAGAAGCTGATATCCTATAGAAGAGTCAGCTGTGGCATAAGTACAGAAGAAAAGCCCAGCTGGGTCCAGCATCTTATTTCCCATAGCGGCCAACCTCATGGCTCTAGGAAAGAACATGAACAATACCAGCCTCCTGCTCTTGTTCCACAGCAACTGGTACTGAGTGATATGCACCCTCTGATGTTGCAGGCAGCAGACATGACTGACAGCCTTTCAAATCTTATTCTTCCTGACTTTGTAACGGCCTTTTCCTTTTAAAGTCATTGCTACCTGTTGCCACCACCTTATGGAAGGAGATTCCATGGTTTAGTGATGTACTGCATGAAGCAGTAAAATATTTGGCAGGGGTGTTTGGATTATTTTATTTTATTTTTAGAAGGGATGCAGGTGGCGCAGTGGTTTAAACGGCTGTGCTGCTGGGCTGGTTGATCGAAAGGTCACCGGTTCGAGTCTGCACAACGGGGCGAGTTCTCGTTGCTCCATCCCAGCTCCTGCCAACCTTGCAGTTCGGAAGCATGCAAAGGCAAGTAGATAAAAAGGCACCACTTCAGTGGGCAGGTAGCAGCGTTGCGTGCACTTCGGTGTTTAGTCATGCCGGCCACATGACCACGGAGACTGTCTGCGGACAAACGCTGGCTCCCTCGGCTAGGAAACAGAGATGAGCACCGCCCCTAGAGTCAGGCGTGACTGGACTTTAATGCCATGGGGAGACCTTTACCTTTATAGCTGAGCCACTGTGAGGATATTTTAAGAGGGACTTGGGATGTATCCTGAGATGCAAAGTAAAGGCTATAGAATGGTTCTCACTTACAGGAGCAACAAAGATCATTCCATTTCATAGAGCCTTTCCAAGATAGTGCTTTTCTTCCTCTTCTGTTGCTTTAATCTTGTTGTGAACAGCTTAGAATTCATTATGTTATTGTCATTTATGGCTGTTTTAGCATTTGTGAGTCACCTTAATTATATTTTTTATACAGAACAGAAAGGCAGAAATGTCAGAAAATAAAATATAGAAAACTTCCCATAAGTAATAAATAATCTGAACTCAAGGGCACCATGTAAAGATTTCAGAATGAATGAGAAAGATGGCAAATAAATGACAAATGGCCAAGGTTGGAGAAATAATGGTGATGAGGATGATGCATTTTAAGAGCATTAGCTGCCATTACTTTTAATAATTATTTATTAGGCTTACGTCCTGCCTTTTTTCTTTTAAAGAACTCAGAGAGACTCATTCTCCTCCTGCTGCTCTCAGTTTTATTCCCACAGCAACAACCTGTGAAGTAGGTTGGGCTGAAAGTCTGAGACTGGCCCAAAGTCACCTACTTAGCTCCATCCATGGATGAGTGGGGAGTAGAACCCAGATGACCTGAGTCCTGTACTCTTCACCATTACACCATACTGGTTTTCACATAATTAATTAATGCATTAATGTTTCTGTCTTATTTATATAATCTCTCTCTCTCTCTCCCCCCAAACTTATTCAGTTCTATGCTATTTGCATAAAATAGTTCCTTCAAAGGCCTAGAATTGACACTGAAGACTGGGTGGGTTCAGAGGTCACAGCAAGCCACCCTGTTAATCAGCCAGTCGACAGTTAACCAAGCTGAGCTGGTTGTTTGTTGAACTCTGCTCCTTTTGTCCGCTGACATTTCTGCATTTTTTCCAACCACAACAAAATTGCAATTGGAGTCAAAGAGGAAGGGCTCAAGCCCTGAAAACTGCATAGTTTTTTAATTTGGTAATCCTTGATAGGTACACAAGTGTGCACTTATACCCATCTGATATTCATAGTCTTGCATTGTCAGTTTCCTCATCTGAAAGGGAGGACAAGGAGAGACCACATACATGCTGATTTGCACACAGTTGCCAGCTATCATTTGCCTTGCTGTCAACTGAAAAATGAGAGAAAATTGAGGGGGGTGGGGGAGCAGGGAAGACAGGTGCATCAAAAGGAAGTGACAGCAATTCCACCCACTTACCAATCTTCTCGATTTTAATTGTTGAGCTGACAAATCTCCACCTTTTCAACACATTCCCAACTCTCCAGCTATTCCAGAGAGGGAAAATCTTAATTCTGCAGGTGAGCCAATTCCAGTCCCCATGTCCTTCACAGCCATTCAATTTGCATATGTTAACCCACCAATTATTTTTGAGCCTCCAAACATAAAATCCAAAAAACAAGTGATGATGGTCTTGACAAAGTGCCATTTCAGCATCAATGGAAGGACCGGATTATTGAGATTGGGAAAGTAAGCATGAGGCTGGGGGTGCCGTTATTGCTGAGTTGTTTTACAGCCATTCAAAAAAAAAAAATCCCTTTGCTGGGTTTAAACGATGCAAGAACCCATTGTGGGTGGAACAACCCTAGAAAAATCCATGGGTACTCAAGGTGGCTTGTGCATGGAAAATAATCCATCCTACAAGTTTGGATGACATGAAAACCCACCATGGCTGGTTTATTCAGGCCTGATTACTGGGAAACTGCTCCATAACCTGTAAAGGCAAATTACAGGAGAAGATGTAAAGGAAAAAGATGAAATAATTATTCAGCTCTGATGTCTGAACTATGGGGTCTCTGCTGCTGGAACATCTGTGCTGATGTCCAAGCACGAAAGCACGCTGGGGAACACTAACCAGCTAGAACGTCATGCACTACTATAGCACTCGTTTACAAGCAAACACAAAGTGTCTGGGACAAAAGGCATTGTAGATCTAAAGCTGTGTCTAAAAGCAATGCAGCAGCATTGTGTGAATTTCAAAAACCTCAGAACTAGAGTATGGAGTTCTTTGATGGACGCATAACATGTTTCCAGTGCAAAATTATACACTGCTACCTCAAGCTCAATGGGTTACAGCTCTTGTTATATTTGCCTCTTGCTCTGCAGGCAATGGAAGGAACAGTCAAGAGAAACATATCCTGGCCCAGTCTCTGCATTCTATGGAGAATTCTGCAGCAAGAAATTCTGAGCAGATACAAGAACTTCAAGAATTGAAAGTTTCAATTCAAATGAAAAAATTGCATACCAAGCCACGAACTCTGGAATGAGCTGCTTCTGAATGCTAGTGAAAGACATCATGTTTAAATGTTCCCCCTTATAAAAACAAACACAAAACCCCACCTTCCTGCTTACTGCAAGTTAACATGTTAGAAGAAAGACTTTCTAAAATATATGCTAGTTCTCCACATGCTGGGAGAACTTTTCCATGAGAAAACATGCACACGTATAATATCCTACCTACAGTCTGCAGCAGTGATGCTGGAAAACCGGTGCCTTTTCTGTTGAACCACCTCCTGAACACATCCAAACCGGCAAGGAATCAGCCACAGCTGTTTGACAGAAATTAGCCAACTAGACCTGTTTTACCAGCAGAAAAAGAAACGGAGATAAGACAAGATAAAACATGGAGATAAAACACTGTAAAGTCAGTGAAAAGAGAAGAGGGATGTTGTATGCCTTAATTCAAGCTTTGGGAAGATTATATATCCATAGGCTTCTTCCTCTGTAATGAACCCACATTATTGCTCAGTTTTGCCACCCTAAGCAGGGTGCTGAAGAATATCCTCCCTGTCTGAAAGAAATACACTCCAGAACCCACTGCCCTTTTCAAAGGATTCGGGGACACAGCTTCATTCCCTCTTGGAAGCGGACCGTGCTTTGAAACAACACAAGAGGCTGGGTGACTGCAGATTCTGGCCCAGTGGTTGTCCCACAGTGGTTGTGTTGACACAGGCAGCTGGCAAACATGCCTCTGTGGTCAGGTATGGGCTTAGTGGAAAGGGTCACTTTGGTCACTTTAGAGGAGTCTCCGATGCAAGAACAGCTCTAGTTAGAACACAGGCCTCTTGCCTCAGTGGAAGAAGGGCACGTCTCTCTAGCAACCTGGAGCTGAGCAGGGCCTGCAAGTAGTATTACAGCCTCCCTCATCCTGGCGCCATCAGATATTTTGGACTTCAGCTCCCATCAGCCCCTGGTAACATAGCCAATTGTTGGAAATGCTCGAAGCTGATGTATTACATGCAGACCATCAAATTCTATGCAGCCTTTCCCAATCTGTGCCCTCCAGGTGTGTCAGACTCAAGCTCCCATGATCCCCAATCATCTGACACAACTAGAGGGGGCCAGTTTTGGGTAAGATGTCCCACTGCACACAGTCTTCCTGTTAAACCCTTTCAGCTTAATTAGTGTTTGTGGCCAGAATTAAGTCTTAACAGTGGACGGCTTTTTAAAAAATGTATTTCAATTATCAGTTTTAACCTGCCAATATACAGTGCAATCCTTATTCTGTAATACCTCATTTCTTTAGTCATTTTGTAGGTAAAGTAAGACTACCATACACAGATTTTTAGTAAGAAAGGATATCTGAATCTCTACACAGACATGCACACACAAATAAATATGTGCAGCTTCTAAATTATAAATTAAATATAGATGTGAAACCTGCAACGAAGTGATGAAATTTGGAATGCTCCTGTTCGGGCAGCCAAATAGCCATGCCTTCTTCCAAGATCCTCCTGTTCTCCAACCCAACTTTTTATTTCCCCTGCAGTCAGTCAGTGCTTTTGCCTGCTCAGCACGTTCAGTTCTTATTGGGCTGTTCACAGATGGGTTGGCTGGTTTTTCCTTCAGCTTTTTCTCTTGCTTTCTTTTCTCTTACAGAAGTTCTGGGGCTCCTCAAGCCTGCTATCACCCCCTTGTGCATGGATGGTGTTGCTTTAGCAACGTAAGGCCTGCGGCATACCCATCAACAGGCTCTATCGGATCTGCAGACAGGGCACTGGAGAAAAGTGGTTGGATCCAGACTTAGTCATGCCTATAGTAGACCCACTGCAATCAATGGGACTTAAGCTGGTCAGGATAAATTACACCCCACTCATTTCAATTGGTTAACAAAGGCTAGTTCCTATACAGTCCCCATCCACTAGTGGCCCTATATTTGCAAAACTTCCTCCCTGGGGAGGTATGTATAGGTCCATCTTTACAAGCTCTGAAATGCCTGTTAAACGATTTTCTGTTCCAGAGTGTTTTCAATTAAAAGTGTTGCAAGGAAAGCTTTTGATTTGAACTGCTACTGTTCGGGGGTTGTGGTTTTATGTCTATATAAATTACTTTTTACAAATTCTTTAGCTGCCTTGGGGGAACGTTAACTTTAAAGCTGCAAATAAATATGGGAATGAAATGAATTTACTGTTTGTATTTAAGATGAAAAATAAATGAATAGCCAAAACCCAGGGAATAATCCTCCCAAATTGCCCTATCCTTGCCATTGCACAACAGCCTGGCGTCCAAAACTCTTAACAAAGAAACTTTGTGGTCGCAACCAGATGCTTTTGTACAGGAGACCTGAAAGAAAGCGAGGCTTCTATACGCAAACGCTGAAAGGCGCTAGCCGGGGATGGGGTGGGGGGAAGGGTCCTCCATGGCTGTGTCGTGGAGTGTCACGTCTTCCTCCCAGGGGCACCCTTCGCTTCAGGAGGTGTGAATGGATTTTCTCAAGTGCATTTTGACAGCTGGGAGCAAGAGGATCGCGGCAGCAGCTGGAAACATTCCTCCCGCTCCGCGCCCCTCCTCCTCCGAGAAGCCGGCTGTCTCCAAGCGAGAGCGTCTCGAGTCGCCCGCCTCCGCCTCCCCGGCTCACTGCATTGCAACGGCCAGACAGGGCAGAGGGCTCCGAGGCGCTGCCTGCCTGCGCGCTTCCCTCCCGAGGAGCAGGGCTGCAAGGAAGTTGGAGGAGGCTGGCGCGGAGCGTCTGACGAAACATCCAAAGTCGATTGCTGCAGCTAGGGTGGTGAGGGGTGAGGAGCGTCCCCCTCCCCAAACCCAGCACCTGCTGAACGCCTTTCTTAATGAAAAGCGGGGAGGGTTTGTTTGTTTATGGAGGGGAGGTTGCAAGCAGCTGCCACCAGATTGCTCATCCGGAAGGCTTTAGATGGGAATCCCGAACGCACCACTGAGCTTGGAAGGGATTCTGCCCAAGAATCCGTGCCTCGAGGAGGGTGGACTGAAGGGAGCAGAAATGCTGGCAGGGGTCACGGACGTATTTATTTATTTAAAGGCGGATTCGTGCATATGAGGCAGAGATGATGCAACTACTGCGGTGGGGTTACACAAGGAAAGACTCGATTCCCACACACCGACACTCAAAAATCCGCAGGACCACAGAAATCCTCGTGGGGGTGGGGAGGGGAGCTGTGGGACTGAAGATGGAGAAGCTTCAATAGCAAAAGCCATTACAATCGAGTCTTTCATTTTTCCACCGGGGAAGAGAGCTCCCAGTCGTTTTCTGACTCGTTCTTTCTTTAAGCGTACGGGAAGAAGGCAGCGGAGTTCCACACAATTAGTAGAAACTGCTTGTTCCCGGTGAAGTTGTAAAGCAGCCGAGCCCGGGCTAATAATAAAAGGATGTAGTTGCCTGAAATGCACGGCAGGAAGGCGTGTGAGAAGTTCTTTCCGAACGAAAAGCCGTGGTTTTGTGTTCTGAGCTCGTCAAGATAACGAGAAGGATCCTGCTTTAACGCCCCCGCCCTGTTTCACAGTAACACGTGTGAATTGCAAGTGCCGCGATTGCATGCACATACTCCGTCTAGGACGCCTATTCGAAATCCAGTCCTCAGCGTCCCCTGCCTTAATTCTGATCCTGTGGGCTATACATACCGCCTCTGTGGTGTTTGCACAGTCTGTATGTGGTAGGAAAGGAAGGGATCTTTCCAATACTTTTCGCAAAAGAACCTAGCCTAGAGACCTGAAGCACCTTTCCAAGCTGTTGCTAGCGGGCTACAGCTAGCGAGCTACAGTCCAGCAATGCAGAAACGGGATCATTCCCCTGCAAACATTCGCTTCCCCCCTCCGTGCCTGCTTTTAAGCGACCGTGCAGAACACTTGCTTCTGCCGTGATCTGCTCGGGCGGCGGCGCACGCTTTGCAACCTGCTGCTGCTGCTGCTCCTCGCAGCGACTTTTCGTCCCGAGATCTAATCGTGGCTCGCTGAAGTGTGTAGTAGTTTCGAGCAGGCCACGCCCCCTGAGCGTGGTGTCAGAGTGAAATAGAGGCTCCGGTTGGTCGGGTTGGCGGACAACATCTGCTCGACTCCTTCATTCAAGTGACACCAGAGAGCTTTGAGGGATATTTGAGGCTCCCTGCGTTCTCTTTCCTGGCCACTTCTAGCACTTGTACCAACGCCGACTGCACGCTCCGTGCGTGGGCGAAAAGATCACGGGGATCTTTCAGCTCATCACCCCTTTTGCAAAGCAGTGAGAGTGGGGGCCGGGTGGCCTCCAGTCAACCTTGTTGGGTTCACACCAGGACCATGTGTGCGGAATGGATAGGGAAATTAGTGACTCTGGCGTTGGTCTTCGCAAGCCTTGATCCGGCTGTGGGTACGGAAGCCACCAACCCTCCGGAAGGTGTCCAAGACAGAGTTCCTCAGCAAAAAGGGCGCCTGTCCTTGCAAAATACAGGTATGCAATGAGCTCTTGAAGACGTCGGTATGTAATTCTAAACTCGAAGGTGGGGGAGCCGCATTTTAAGTTGGGGACTAGCGGTTTCGTTCCCTCTGGGACGCTGTATTTCTGGTAGTCTGCGTGGAGAACAAGAGATGCGTCGCTAGGTGATAAGCATCGTTGTTGTAGGAACAGGGAGTGACAAGCAGAAATCGTTAAAGGAAGCATCTATTTTCCTGCAGCTTTGGAAGGCCTGGTTTGCCAAGCACGTGGTCTCCCATTTGAACTAGAGGAATATGCTTAGCCGCACTTCTGCATACGAGAAAGAAACCCGCCGCTGATAGAAATGTTGCAGCGGGGTGAAAGTTAAGACCAGGTAGTAATTATAATCTGAGAATACCTGCGCTCGCTCTTTGCAAGGAAGACTTTAATGACTGCAGTGCCTTGCGTGTGATTGCACGTCTCAAACCAGCAGTTTCGGTCCTTTAATTTTAAACAAGATTCCGCAAGCAAAAAGCTTAAAGCTGGGGTGGGGACACACACATGCTCACAGGGAAGGCACTGCTAGCTATAGGGATGCTGCCTGGACGCAGCAGGTTTCGCATTAGCTGGAGAGAGGAGAGGCACTTGAAACCTGCAGAGGTAAGTACAAGGAGGGAAGCTGCGGCGTTCCTTCTTTTCTTTTCCCCAACCAGGAGAATGCAATGATGCAACTCACCACGGGGATTCTTTCCTTTCTCATCTCCCCTACCCACCATTTTTTGGGTGAGCCATTGAGTGCATAAGACACAATGCAATACTCCTTCCCTAGAGGAAAAACTCAGGCTTGCACTTCAGTGGCTCTCTTGCCAAACGTGGTTGGAAAGAAACAGGGAAGTCGGTTCCTCTCCCTCGCGAAATACTCTCCACTTTTTAACTGTAGTGGCGCCCATTACTGCGGATCTTTGATTAAAAGCGCGCACGAGGGGGAATGCTAGTGAATTGCCGCCACGCGTGAATCGCAGCACCGAGCAATTCTCTGCGCGCTGGGGCTGGGCATGTGATCGGAAACGTTTGCATCCCACCCAGCGCCAAGACAAGCACTATAGCTGGCTCCTGGAACACCCCCCCGCCCCCCAACACGCACGCACACATATTTGAGCTGAACACTTACACAACGCTGGACAAAGAGCCCTTTTTTTCCCACGTTCAGCTTCCCCACTGTGTAGAAAACACAATGCGAGGAGCCTTCCTTGAGAAAAAGAAAGGGGATATAGCCGCAAAATCCCGCCCTGGCTTTTCCAGACGCTTGTCCAATCAGGATTTTTAAAAAGGGAACAACCTTGCCTTCGTGTCTACTTTGCATAAAAGGGATCTCTCTCCCTCTCCCTCTCCCTCTCCCTCTCCCTCTCTCTCTCTCTCTTTGCAAGATTCTGAGCCTGGTTTGGCGTTGACCCTTTTAGCAACTCCCATTTTCTTTAAAAGGAAACAAACAGACCAGAGAAGAAAAGGTGGAAATAACCTTGCAGAGGCTGATAAAAGTGAACTAGCATAATGACTATATAGGACACATAATTTTCACCTTTTGCTTAGAATGCCGCTCTGCTATTCCACTTAAGTTTCGGGAGCAGTGTCTCCTCTCATAGCCTCTTTTATGTTCATACAGGAAATGGTTCATCATTAGCCATAGTTTTTAAGATTATTTTTTAAAAACACATCAATCCAATATTTGAAATACTGTGTAGCAAGCAATGTTTAGAAATACTCTGCAAGTCCTGGGGGTGGGGGGAGTGGAATAACCTGGCTGATTTAATTATTTCAAATGAGCATTCCCATCTTCCTTTTTTTATTATTGATTATTTGGAGTTTCAGCTTGATGTATACCTAACCCATTTATACTGGTTGCACTTACTTCCAACTAAATGTGCAAGCAACTGGGTTCTAAAAGTGCAGTGACTGTTGTGGATTACTAAGTAGCAATGCAGCAGAAAAGAGCTGTCCTTCTGCAGATTTAGTTGGAATTTTGTCATGTACTTCAGTAATTTGAAAGAGATGTACACCCAAATAGAACCTCACCCAACAAAAAACTGCCTTCATTTCCTCAGATACAATTTCCTTGACTCTTATACAGAATTTAGCCTTAATAAGAAAGTATAAAGATTAGATTTACCATAGTAGTTACTGCATTTCTAGCCTTTGCCACCCATGAGGCAGCCTGCATGATTTCCCCTCCCATTTCCCCTTAACAACAGCCCTTTAGGGTAGGTTAGGTGGGAGCTGCTGAACTGGCCCAAGGTCAGCCAGTGACTTTCATGGCTGCATGGGGATTTGAATCCAGGACTCCGCTGGTCTAACTAGTACACCATGCTAGCTTTTCTAAGTACACACTTCTGTGATATGTAGAGTGGGTTAAGTGTTGCCTTTATGTATTGCTTGGGTCTAATATCTGTGTAGAACAAGGACATTGATTTATCTCTGGCACAGTTATGCTTACCCCTTTTCTTTAAATGAAAAAATTGCTATCAAAATAACCTCTAGCTTTCCAATTCAAGTTGCCATTTTGGAAATTATTTGTGGTGGCTGTTCATTTTCAGCTGAAATCCAGCATTGTCTGGTCAACGCTGGTGATGTGGGGTGCAGCGTGTTTGAGTGCTTTGAAAACAACTCCTGTGAGATTCGAGGCTTACATGAGATCTGCATGACATTTCTCCACAATGCTGGAAAATTTGATGCTCAGGTAAGCATAACCACACCTAAAAGTGCAACGAGGAGATGTATAGACAGGTAGGCCAAGATGCTTCTAATGCTGCAGAATTGATTAGTTTGAAGGTTTCTTAGACTGTTGCTGTTTTTATTCAGATTTCCTTTTTTCAGTCCAAATCAATGATTTTTGAATGCCTCAGGACTGAGGGATGTTCATAACACAAGCTGTTAATATATGTATTTTCTTGTTCATCCTCCATCCTGCATTCATCAGCCACTCATCCTTCTTTTCTTTAAAGCCCCAGTATATGTACTGCAGGTCCTCCTCATGTCCCACCCACTGAAGAGAGGTACCATAATGAGAGCCTGAAGCTCCCTGAATGAAACAATAGTGGGGGTGCTTCTTCAGAAGGGGCTTCCTTGGAAGAACTCAGGTATTGCATGCAAAAGGTCCTGATTTCAATCCCCAGCATCTCCAGGCAGGACTGGAAAAGGTCTTGTCTGAAATCCCAGACAGATGCTGCCAGCCAGTGTTGACACTACTGGACTAGTTGGATCTAGGTCTGGCTGTGCATAAGACTGCTTCCTATGTTTGGTTGAGGAATGAAAGCCCCAGCACATATTTTTGCTTGGTGAGTTTGCGGTCAAAGATGAGGTTGATACTTTGGAAGTAATTTTCTTTTCCTTCCTGTCTATTTCATCTAAGAGGTGAAAATTACTATTCAAGTAATTAATATGGCAATGCAGAGCTACTCATATATGACAAGAGTAAGCATCGCCAAAGAGATAACAGTGGTGTTCTGTTTTCAGAACTGTGCTTCTTCAACAGTGGGAATGTCAAAATGCACCTTTGGCTTCCTGTTGGTTCTACCCAACACACAATGATTTATTTGAATAGCAGCTTGGATTTACAGACTTTACAATTCCATATATGACTGGCAAACTGGGGGCACTTGAGGCAAATGGAACTCCCACATAGTAAGACTATTTATCTCTTTAAATGAGAACTGATGCGCTGTCAAGTTTTCATCTTAGCCAAAATTTGCTGCTACGGACAGGAGCCTCCTGCAGTTTCCTAGAAGTGCTGTCTCTCCCTGGCATGAATATTTTGCTACAGAGGAAAGGAGGCCATACTCTAAATGCCTCAGTCCAAGGATGCCAAGTTTTGTTCAAAATCCTGTCTAATGACAGGAGCCATTATTAGCTAGGCACTTGTGTGAGGCAGGCTGATAGGATACAAGTCTGCATGAAATTTGCATATACAAATTCACCATATACACAAATTTAGAAACTATTGGGCTTTATTTACATTTCCCAGAAGGAAAAACCAGCCAATTCAATCTTGAAATTCCAAAATCACTACAAATAAATAAATCTTCACTTAATTTGCACTGCATACTAGATTGAATCAGTAGCTTTTTCTTAAATTAGAATTGATCACTTGCTATCTTTTCCTTCCCTTCTCTATCTTTCTGGCCTCTCCCAAAAATGGAGGAAAATTGCCCCTACCTCATGCAATTAAGCTTAAAGAAAACTTATGTTAACAGTAATCAGTAATTGGGGGGTTTCTCCCCCACTTTGTTTAATTGTCTTGCAGGGGGGATTTGGGGAGGTTTTTCCAAAGTGTGGGAAGGAGAAAATTAACCCTTCCCTCTCCAGCTTCACCCCACTTTGTAAATCACCCCCTGCATGCAATTAATGTAAGAAAGAAAACTTCCATTGACATTACACTCAAAGCTCAGCCAAGAGATTCAGGATCCTGGGAAATAGATATGTGACTGTGGCGCAGCATGTCCAATCCAACAATCATCAGAAATACCCATCCCGGCTGCCTTATTCAAATGATCCTTTGGCAACCCACCAATGTCAAAGTACATTCCTTGGCCAGTGTGTGGTATTAAGTTTGCCGCCTTCATTTTCTCTCCAAACCGTTCATACGTCATTGAAGCATCCTGTTATTATGTCTTCTGCAGCAGCTCTCCCATTTCAGCAAAGTGGGGAAAGAGCATTCAGATGGGTCTGTGGCATTTGGCTTGACTGGACAGTTTATGCTCACATTCTCCCCCTTTCTCAGCTATTTATACACAGATATTATTTAGCATTTGTTTACAATATAAACTCATTTAAGATTTCAGTGATCACAAGTGGCAGTTCTTGGGGTGGGAAGGAGCGCTGCCTTGCATGTCCTGTTCAGTTGGGTCACGACCATCCCTCACTTTTGACTGGTTTTGGAAGCAGATCTTTTTTGAAGCTTCGAGGCTGCTTTTTCAGACATATAAGCACGTCTGTTTCCTTTCAAATTAATGGGATGTCATTATCCCTTCCCCTACCTTTGGGGCAGCTTTTAAAAAATCTGCCTTTGTCTTTATTTTTGTGAAGAAAACCAGTAAAGCTCACTTTGTCATTCTATTTCACATTTCACACAATGCGATTCCCACTGGGACCTGCAGCACATGCTCCGCAGTTCCTCTTTTTAGTGTAACTCTAATAGTTATCCCATACATGAAATCTCCCCACAACCTTCCCACAATGAAGTTTGCATTGCATTGCTCCCAGTATTGTTGAAATTTCTTCTGCTGCTGTTGCAAAGATAAAATATGAAATCATGTATGTGCTAAGAACATTCCAGCTACTCTATTTAAAACAAAAATGGGCTTCCTCCAGTCTGTTGCAAAGAAAAGGTCGAGTGCTAAGATCATCACATGCACTGCTAGGTTATACGACCATAAAATTCAAGTAGAAATGGAAAAAGAACATTTACCCAAATGGCACATTGATCACTTAAAGCTCATCAGCTAAGGATGAGTTGAAACTTCATGGAACTGAAGAAATGCAGGATCATTGCCAGCTGCCTATCATAGAGCAAGGAGAAGAGAGGACTGCTTATGCAGAAAATCATAGCATTCCATTGATGCGTGGCCATCGTTCAAACCTAATGGCAGAAAGGAGGCGGAAGGTGATTTGTAAGACTCACTTAATTTTCCCTTGCAGATTCGATGCAGGGGACACTGATCACAGGCATAGCTAGAAGCACGTCAAGCATTTTATGGCTCTTTAAAATCTGATCTGTTTGGTTAGTTCTCCTGGACTACCTAAAATTGAATGCACTTCCTTCAATATACACTGATATCAGCGGTTTTGCATTAGGCTGTGGGTTGGACTTGTATCTTTGAAAGATGGTCAGTTTTGATTGACATGGACACTCATGGAAAACAGTAAGAATCATGTTGTTATTCTCAATTGTACATTGGATAAAGACAGGTTAAAATTGCAATTCTGTACACATGTACCTAGGAATGCATACCATTTAATTTAGCAGGACTTAGTTCTGAGTAGATATGCTGAAGCTCAGAGCGGAAGTTCATGGCACACTTGAATAGGCACCACTGAATTGATCTGGTCTTTCTTTCAAATACATACAGGATTGGGCTAGGAAAATGCAGATTTTCCAACCTGGTGCCCTCCAGTGGTGTTGGACTACACCTCCCAGAATCCCCCAGGTCTGCTGCAGAAAAAATGTGAGAAAAGTGTTCTTGCATACCAGAATTTCCAGAGAGGCAAACCACTCACTCGCTCTCTTGGCACTGTAGGTTCCTGTTGCCTAGTGGTGCTGGCACTGCCTTGCTCTGAGGGCACGGGATGACTGATGTTGAGCCATTAGTGGGAATCAACTATTCCACTCCACAGAGTTCTTACTATTCATAGGCTTTTCCCAGCAAGCCAGTGCAGTGTGGTGCTTAGAGGGCTGGACTGAGAGATCTGGGTTCTAGGCTCCACTCAGCCATGGAGCTCATTGGGTGACTTTGGGACAGTCGCAGACTCTCAGTGCAGCCTACCTCACAGGGTTGCTAGTGTGACAATAAAATGCAACTATGTATCTGCCTTGGGGTTCTTACCAGAGGAAAAAAGGTAGGGTATAAATGCAATACAATAGAAGTAGTAGTGACTTTCTCATGTTGTCTTTGAGAAGAGGTGGCAAAGGCATGCTTAATGGAGAGGAACAGAGCTTTGTATTTTGTTCTTCAGGGAAAATCCTTTATTAAAGATGCTCTGAGATGCAAGGCGCATGCCCTACGGAACAAGTTCAGCTGCATCAGTCGCAAGTGCCCTGCTATCAAGGAGATGGTGTTCCAGCTGCAGCGAGAATGTTACCAGAAGCATGATCTCTGCTCTGCAGCCAAGGAGAATGTCCAGGTCATTGTGGAGATGATTCACTTCAAAGACCTGCTAATGCATGAGTGAGTTAGCACCATCCAAACACTGTTTTGGGACATGGGAGAGATTGGGACCCTGCTCTGCCCACATTGGTTGCTCCAGTAAACACCAGTAGACAGTCTAGTGGCATTAATCTAGCTGTGGTTCGTCCAACCAGAACTGCAAGTCCCCTGGTGTATGGAAAGAGCATAAATGTTATTTCCAAAATACTGACTGAACTTGGTGCTACAGATGAGGCTAGATGAGTTTCCTAGATGCCATATACCATGCTCCAATTCAGTATGTGAAAAGGTTACACGTTTTATGGTGCATTCAGCACAAAAGCACATTGCTTTACAACATGTTTTGTACAGGGCGATCTATGCATAATAGGAAAATAATATAAGTGACTGTCTCACACACTGGTAGAAATGGGTACACACTGAGGTCTACTTGTTTCTGTTCCTACTATAATGTTTGAAATGACTCTTACATACACTTTGCATATAACAGCCCATGATTTAAACAACCCATGGGCTGTTGTGCACCATGCTGCCTCCTGTGCTCCAATCACTTCCACTTCTAGTCAAGAATTGAAGATCGCCCTGTTTGAAGGATGCTGAGTATGACGTGCAAACCTGGAGCGCTGGGCTGCTCGGGTGAAATGTATTGGTGTTGACTTAACCACTGAGTTGATTTGCCCCTAAGCAACTCATCAGTCCAGGTTCACACATTCAACAACCTATAAACAGGCGATCAGAGGCTGTTGACTGAAGTGAAAATAGCCACTGATTCCCAGCAGCCCATGGACTGTTTAACTGGTAGGCTGTCATTACAAGCAAACTGAAGCCCTGCTATATAACTCATATGTAACCTTGAATTAAGCTGCTTGATTCTCAGTTGCTCGAGGGCGGGGGTGGGGAATATTTTGGTCAGAGGACCACATTCCATCCTGGCAACATTCTGAGGGCAGGGACACATACAGTAATGGGCAGGACCTGTTTTGAAAGTGGGAGGAACCACAGACATCTTCTTCTTCTTCTCTTATCCATGTACACATCCATGCACATTCCTTACGCACACAGTTGCCTCTTAGCTGTTTCCAGAGCAGTGGGGAAGGGGGAAGAGGTTTAACCCTACAGGATAGCTCTTAAGGTTTTACATCATGCCTAGGATTCACAAGTATTGTAAGTGCAATATATAGTATGTTACTTATTCTAAAAGTGCAATGTCCATAAGTAATTGCAGGGAAAATGTGTGGACTTAGCCTTGGCTTTTCTGGATTTATGTTTCTACACAGTACTTCTTTGCTAGAGATGTGTGAAGAATGTGACTGAGGGTAAAAATTCAGTGGACTTTCACAATCTAGCCACCTCCCCATTCTAGTGCACCAGCCCTGAAGTGGCACTGATTTGCTGTGGTATGAATCAAGCCAGGCTGTGAATTACCCGTTCTAGGACAGGCCATGATTTGCACTTTTTTTAAAGTGCTAAGGAAATTTGTGCAATTGGCACACTTTTTAAAACGTATGCAAATTGCTGCCTGTCTTAGAAATGGAGATCTACAGAGGTGGGGGGGAGGGAGAAAAAAGGACCACTTCCTGTCATTGTATTGGAAATGGGCAGGAAATCCATTAAGTTCAATGAGCAAAGTTTTCCCTGCATGGTCAAGTGGTGACATCTTTACAGGGTTAAAGATACACAGGCCACAAGGAGGGCATGTGGTCCAGTACTGCCACTGGGGTCATTTCCACATGCTGTGTGGGCCACTGCTTGAAAGGCAGGTCAGGACCAGGAGAGGGATGTGTGAATATTATTAATGACATGTCTGATAGTTCAATTGGAAGCCAAGGCAGGCTTCTGTTCTCAAAGGGTTAAACGTGTTGCTTCTAGTATTGTAAAGCAAAAACAACCTGTAAAAGAACCTTCAAAATACTGCTTGGTCAGTGCACCCAGAATCATCTAATGGAGTATATCCGGAAGAAAAATCTCAGTTCTCAGAAACACACACATTTTCAGTACTTGCTCAGATTCACACATGTGCAATTGTAGTGAGGCCAACATTTTTGCAAATCGTTGGCAGAAGCCTTACTGTTAATAACTTGCCAAAGGAGAGGTACAAATACCCCTAGTTAGTTCTCCGGTCTTCTTTAAAAACAGCAACAAGAAAAAGCTCCTTTTCCCACTCCAAATGGACTATTGCAGCCTATTACTGCTCCATTAAATTAGCTATGTCAGTGGCATCTGCTCAATCTTACCTGCTAGTCTCAGGGTATACTTCAAAAAGAATGCCATGTGGATACATTTGTTACTGCTTGTGAGATTAAATATGAAGGGACCACTTTCCTCTCCATCCTTCCTTTAATGCTTCTGGGATTCAGTACATGATGTAGGTCTTTACTTTGCTTAGAGATCAGGCAGTTGTGGAAGCAGTCACAGACCCTGGAGTGCAGAATAAGGATCATTACATGGTAAAGCAACATTAGGCAATTTCTGAGGGCTAGGGGCACAGTGCCACCCCCAGAACTGATGGGGGGCTGCTCCCCAACTACTGCATTAGTGGTGGCGGCGGCGGCAGCAAAAGTCATGGTGGTTTGACAAACTGCGTGGTGTATATCTTTTGTGTGTAGGCAGAATTGCAGAGACTTCTAAGAACACAATCCTGCATGGAGTTGCAAACAGCCATGAGGTCGCATGTATCCCGTGGGTCGCAGGTTTCCCCTCCCCACTGTACCGCAATCAAGCAATTGAAGGTGCACTCCTGTGTGTGTGTTGACAGAAAAAAGTCCTATAGCTCTCGTACAGATTGGGAGAGTACGGAAGTTCTGGACTTTCTTCTGTTTAAATGTACACAGGATTACATCTTAAGTTCATGGTGTTTGTTAATTTCTGGAGCACAGTTCAAAACTGTGGAGCTCTGTGCTGTTCTCACCCACATCAGAGAATTTGCTGTGCATGAATACCCTTTGTGCACACAAGCCGTATTCCATGGCCACAGAGGCCCTATTTGCAGAGCATTCCTGCTTGTACCCCAGAGCTCCTCACTCAGGGCATTTGCCTGCAAAATTCTTTCATTTATACAGAGGTCTGTCCACCTCTAAACCAGGAAAATAGCACTATCTACTTTGCATGGAAATAGAACCAGGAAACTTAAGAGCTAATATCCCTGCCCTATTAAATAGGCAGTCATCTTCCAGAGTTTTGTGCACTTCCACCAGAGCATTTCTGCAACACTTACAAGTTTGCGGCATTGTGCCACAGCAAGTGTTAGCACATTTGTGCCCAAACACTTATTGCCCTGTCTTTCAAAGCATGATTGCTCACCATGGCTTAATTTACCCATAAGGGCTTGTCTTGGCCTTATTTGACTGCTGCCTAACTTCAAACACCACCTGGCTACCACCTGGCTTCATATGACATGCCAGGTTATGGGTAGTCAGGTGCCCAGTGCAATTTAACAGACACTTCGGGTAAACTAACCCATACTTTGGGTAATTAATTGGGCTGTCAGAACTTAAAGAGAGGCCCATTCACTCACAGGGTGCAATACGGAGCAGAGATCACCATTTCCTGGCCCTTGGCTAAAATCCAAAGCTGTGATAGGCAAATAGACTTTAAATAGAAAATAGAGTTTCTGTCCGAGGAACTCATTTTATAGATACTAGTTAGATTCCAGTCAGAGTGTCACCTGCAGAAATGCATCGGAAAATGAAGACTTGAGAGCATGGGGAGCTGCCTAATACCAGTTCAGGCAACTGGTCTAGCTAGCTCCATGTCATCTACGCTGACTGCCCATGGCTTTCCAGGGGTTCAGACAGGAGTCTTCCCCAGCCCTACCAGGAGATGCCAGGGATGGAATGTGGGATCTTCCACATGTAAAGCATGTGCTCTGACTCAACTATGCCTTGCCCCCATCCTTCCACTGCCTGTTCTTTGGCACCTGTGATATTTGCATTAGGCCAACCCTGACAGCACCCAAGAAACTCACCCTTTTAGTAACGTTGACCAAACACATCCATTGGTGCATCCCTGTATTTATTTCTGAACACTTCGTACACAAGCAAAGTATCAGCCCTTTGTAGGCCGTGTTGCATCATGTTTCTTCCCTACAAGATACGACTCCCATCATTCAAGAAGAGGCAGGATTATACCTGCGAATGGTGCCGGGTATGATAAAACTTCTGCTCTGCAGGCGAGGCCAAAACAGTCCTTGAGTTATTCTGTCTTGGGGGCACAAGTCGGATACCTGTCACATGTTGGCTGAGATAAGTATGCCTCTCACAGTCTTGTGGGCACCTTCCTGATAGTTGGATCAGAGGTTTGCTAACTGCATTCCAGAGCTCCCTGTGGTTCCTCAGGAGCTTGCCATGGGCTCTTCCATGGGAAGATCAGGAAAGGCAGACAGCTTTTCCATCACCACTGAACTGGCCTTACAATGGGCAGCTGCAGGACAGGGTTGGAAGCGTCGTTTGTGGCTCACGTGGTGTCGTGGCGCAATACAGGCTGGGACATGCCTGTCATTCTCTGCAGTCTGCTGGGCTTTTCTGGCAAGTTCTGCATACAATGTAGACTGGTTCATTGGCAAACAAGTTGCTGAGGCAAAGGTACCCAGAAGGCAGACAACCATTTTCCTAGATAAAAGTGATTTGTATTTCTATTAAGAATTAAATAGAGCTGAATTGAAATGGCTTTTGCCAATTTGGCATTTTCCTGGAAGGAAATAAACTGCTCAGAGAGCCTTGGCTGTGGGGCAGTATAGAAATGAAATGAAATTTAAATAAATAAATAAGCAAGCAAATCATAAGCAAACAGATTTTACGGCTGCATAAGATCCTGTTAAAAATAAAATTTGATTAACTTTGTCAAAACACTGTTTTAAATGAAACCTGTACATTTTACAGCTGTCAAAAGTAAGTGTTCTGGTAAATTGGCAGAGGTGTTACACTATTTCACTTTCCTTAGTCTCAGTCAACAGTAGAAAAGGTGGAAAGCCCTGAAAACCATCAAGTTGACACTTAAAAAGCTAGAGGATCTCCCTGCAAAGGGAGTCGTCTTTTGCAAATCAAGATCTCCTCATGGCTTTGCTTTCACTTGACAACTGTTAAGCAGCACACAGTATCTGAAGCCTGGCTTAGTCAGTGTCCCTGGACAGTGCCTGCTTTTACCCTAGTCACTAACCAGAACTTTGACCAGACAAGGTTTCACATACTGGATAGTTGGAGGTGTGCATTTGCATAAGTCTGAAGAATTGATCATTTTTTTAAAGAATCACTAAAAACATTTGTGCCCATATTTGGTGGGGTTGGGAGAACCTGGGAAATCAGTAATGGCTGCTCCTTTGGGCCACTTGGACACTTTGGAGGAGCCAAAACTGACTGTCACTTAAGAGATTACAAAAACCCCATCATCAAAATAAATGGAGAAAAGTCATAGCAACCACAAAAGGGATTTCAGTGTGGAGAGAAGCAGGACCAAGGAGGAGGACAGTGTGTGAGGGTAAACCTGATCATCTGTTCTGCAAATCTGCACTGCATGGTGTATTTGCAGGATTGACTTCCATTTGTGCAAATTCACAAATGCTTTTAAGCTCAACTTGAAATTCAACTTTTTCTCTGATATGCTGAGGACTAGATGCTTGCTTTAAAGAATCATAAAAGTCAAACATTTCAGGATTCTTTGTTCAGCTTTGTTCTAGGTACGTGGGTGCCCATGTTAAATCACAGCAATACAGATAATTGTGCAGTGATGAACTTATATCTGGGTTACTTTCTGGCTGTACCAAGCCCAATACGTGCTTGTAGCCTGAGAACGGAGATCGAATCAACTTCAGAGCATGAATTAACAATAAGCATGTATTGTATATTCATGTAAGAAATGCCTTCTTCAGATCTATAGGAAACTGTCATTGTTCACATGGAAGGAGACCGATTAGCATTTGGCACCCTTTGTCTTCATAGATGAGTATGAGGCAAGGGTTAGAAATGACAGCAAGAGATTCCAGGGATTGGCACAACTACACATCATGTGTCTTCTGACAAATGAAACTGTGTTGAAGGTGACAGAACTGGCCAAGTTTTCCAGCAGTCATTCTGCCAAGCTTTAAATGTTCGGAATGAGCTGAATGCAACACAGTCCTGCACTTTCCCATCTACCCCAGCACTATCACCTATGGTGCTACGCAAAGGAGCACAGAAGCGTATTCAGATGTGAATTTTGGAGATGATGCCTTCTGTGGGCAGCAACTGGGGTAACTAGTAAAGAAAATGTGGTGAACATTTCTGCCCACTTGTTCTTAATACCTTGGATTACCAAAGAATGCATGCCTGGACCGTGCAGTCACACAGTCATGCGCTGCTGCTGAAATACGTGCATAATTGGCAAGACATGAGTAGGGAGCATACACTGTTAGCTGATTATGGGCCTAAAGCAGGAGGAGTTAAATTCCTGCAACTCCTCCGAACTGATCACTGGCATGAGGGTGAGGAGCTCAAGAACTGCTAATAGAAACAGATTTCTAGGCATGTTTGACTATATCAAATTTAAGAAGTAAAACAGTGTCGCCATAATCAGGCTAGGTATGCTCTACACAGGCTGTGCAGGTCCATTTCATGGTCTACTTCTGAACCGGGAGTCTTAAAGTAATTTGAAGTGGACTTACATGAGTAGGATTGCATAGTAACACATGTGAACCCTTTATCCCACACTTTCGACAAGCCATAGCAACCTGAAATGGCCAAGTTTCAGAATGATCTCAAATTCTGTGCTAGCACAAATATGAAATACGTTGCTTTGTTCATTTAAGTGAGCAGTCCCATGCAAGCTTGTATACAGTTATCCATATTTACTGGGTAAGTTTGAATAGGATTGGACTCATTTGCTGAAATGAAACTGAAATGCATTTCAGGTTAAATTCTTAGCCATTATGCTTTATATTACAGTGCAATGCATTCTTACTTAAATTTTCCCAGAAGTAAGCCCCACTGAGTTCAGCGGTTCTTACCATATAACTGCATGTAGGTGTGTGGCCCAGAACAGTGTAAGTGAACTTAGAAAGAAAGACAGATGGACAAACAGACAGACAGATTAATTCTTAGAATGTTTTTAAAGGAAGCTCAGAATCTGACTCAAACAATTATGCATCCATTTGAGAAGGGAGACAGGTAGCTAATAAGTTAAAATGTCAATGGCCACGAGTTAAAACATGGAAAGAGCATTAAATTGCATAGACTTGCTTGTCTGTATGAATAACAACTCAGTTCCTTCTACACAAATGTCTTTATGCTATGAATTAATGTGTTGATTTTATAGAGAGCAGTTATAAAGGTGCTGCTAATTATGTTACAGTATTCAATAAGCATGATCAGAAAAAATAGCGCTATTTAAACAACCAAGTACCGTATTTATTTTTTCTTAATGGTTGCAATTCTGTCAGAGACAAAAGAAAATCTATAGCTATAGGCCTGTATGCAAACTGTCATAACAAGATGGTAAGAGAACAGAGCTTCATTTTTGCCAGCTTGCAGAGCTTTATACCAGCAGTTATACTTGAAAGTTTTATTATTCAAAGTGAATTTTAATTATGCGATTGTTAACCACCTAGGGATGGCAATGGCGAGATAGGCAGCAAATAAATGTTTTAAAGTAAAGTAAAGCAAAGTAAATGCTCTGAAGCAAGCAATCTACTGATACTATTTCCTTCACCCCCTGTGATATTTCGGCAAGTCTATAAGTGATGATTAAAGCAATGTATTTCTTGCCCTTAGCTATGAAATTGTAATTAAGCTGTGCAGGGCTGAAGTAAAGTGGCTGTCGTCCTACTGGTGTGCGTATAACCTTCCATTCTTCCCTTTCTCCCATGCTTTGATTTTACCCTTAGGCCATACGTCGACTTAGTGAATATCCTGCTCACCTGTGGAGAAGAGGTGAAAGAGGCCATTACACGGAGCGTCCAGGCCCAGTGTGAACAGAACTGGGGGAGTCTGTGTTCCATCCTGAGCTTCTGTACCTCCGTCCCGCACAGAGATTCCACCCTGGAACCGGAGAAGAAGTCCAACGAGGCCTCCAGGTCCTCTCTTGGCCAAGGGGACACAGGTGTCCACCCTGAAGCTGACACCAGAGAGAGTTCCCGAAATGCCCGAGGGGAAAGAGGTAGCAGGCTTCCTGTGAATGCCCATGTTCACACTAAAGCTGGAGGCCACAATCTCAAAGCGGCCCATGGGGTCATAGAGCAGGCAGATGAACTGTCAGACTTCTCTGACATCCGAAGGTGAAAGGAAGATACAGCCCTTCCTTCCCCTTCCACCAGAAATTTCCTCCACTGAGCTCATCTTCTTATCTAGGGGCATTCCAAAATATTTACAATATAGATGGGGTGGTGTCAGGCATAGGGCATTGTGGGATATGTGGCAGTGGCAGTGTATGTATTATAAGTAACAGGAAAAGCAGTGGCTATTGGTCATTGATTGTATCCAGCAAATTCAATGTTGTAAGTGCAAGAAAATATCCTTGCTTAAATCTTTTCATTGCATAAGAAAAGGAAAAGTAGGAGGTTAGATGCAGGTCGGGTTGTTTTTTTTAATCAGGGATAGGTTCGTCTAAATGTTCATTTGTTCACTAATGGCTTAACATCTAGACTAGGTTCAGCATTTAGTCTCTGAGTAGAAAATAATCCAAGTCCCAAACAGGCTGTTGAGACATGTGTAAGGAAACGAACGAGAGAATATTGCATGGGAGAACTTGCAGTTACACACAAAGCCATTTCTCTGAACCATTTTTTCTGTCTAGGTGGACCACCTGCCTTAAGTTTCCTTTGTATTGGTTTGTGTGACTCACTGCTGACCTCTTCTCCCTATTTCTTTAGAAAATTCAGTTATTTAGAGAACCATTTTTCTGAACAAAGTAGTTGGACCTTGTTAGCTGTTCTGATGTTATATCACCCTTTTAAAAAACATATCTTCAAAATCTACCTGGCTTCTGGGTTTCCTAAATAGCATGGTATCGATGCTGCCCTAAGACTTGCTTCAGCATATGGGGTACTTTATTGGAGGCTTCATGGAAAACCTTTTCTTTTTTCTCCACCTGAAGTCAGAATCACAAGGTTTGCAGGACTGCAGAAAACCTTGTGCTCTAAGGCTGTGAGTGTGAAGTGCCAAAGAAATGGGGATGATAAACAAGGGTAAGTCAAGCACTGTGTAATGATTGAATCAGGTTAATGATGTGAAACAAACTTCTCTGCACCTCAGGCATAAATATGTTTTCTTGGAAATAAATTCCATTAATTCCAGTGGAACATACTTCCACAAAAATGTGCTAAATTGTAAGTTCCATGATCCAGGGTTAATATGTTATACTCCATCTTTGCATTTAGATATGTCTGTTATCAAATAAGGCAACTCAGGATGCTGTAGCCCATGCACCAGAATGACATTTTGTGAAAGGGAATACCACACCAATAACCTTTTCGGATGCAGAAGGTTTTGACCATTCATTCTCAGGAGAATGGCAGGTGTCCCCAGGCCAAGCACTTCTTGGCTACCCAAAACTCCCATGTGCAAGGCCTTCCCCTATTACTGCAATGTCACAAAAGCTCAGTGTGTTTATTTGCACCCATTGGATTTGCAGAACCACTGCTGACTGGGAAGCCAGCCTTCACTGCTGGGGAGCACCAGCTTTTTTTTTCTTTTTTATTTGTGGAGACAGAAGAAGTCTGTAAGAACAACAGAACTGTGCGTGCAGCCAGTGAAATTTGTGTACATCATTTCTAACAAGGACACTTTTTCTGATTGTACTGAGTAGAGAATCTGGTCAAAATCCTTAAGAGTTCCCACTGAGGCAACAAAATGCACAAGGAGTAATGTATGGTCCCCATACTTTTCATTGAAAGAGATTGGCAGGATTGTTACGACTTCTATGTACCATCATCAACCATAGGTAAGCCGCGAACACACACACACACACACACACACACACACACACACACTTGCCCCTACATTTCCATATTTTCAATTCACTGTAGTTGGATCTTCTGTAAGAAGTCTGATTTAGCTATAGAAACCAAAACACAAGCACACCCTTGAATGTCTCTGTCAACAGATCACCTCAGCTGCATATAATTTACCTTCATTCTAGGGAAACAAATAGATGGTTCCCTTTTAACTTACTCAAAATTCCATTTTTTTCCAGCAGGAGGAGAGGTTGTATAAGGCCTAGATTTTTGTTTTCATTTTTATCTTCTCTGTGTGAAATTGGATGTATGTGTTCACCTACTGATTCCACATTTTCTTTTATTGTAAATATTTAACATTACTATTTATTATAGTTTCTCCATTTAAAATAATCTGAGCACTGCTGGCAAAGGTAATTTAAATATATGTCAGGACCTGTGTTGTATATATTCATGCCACTAGTACATTTTTGTTATTGTTAAAGCAAGGAAAATATAATTTTATATGCTCCATAATGTTATTGACAGCATCAATCATTTATTTATTGTTATCTTTCATTTCTAATGGATACAAGTGCATTTAACCTGATAGTTCTATCAACACATCCTGTATAGTCTTTGAAATTTTTAAAATAAAATGTCAGCTGTCCCCTTAAGGATCCCAATAATATCTTCACCACTTGCTGACCACCTTCTTGTTTTAATACTGTGGACACAACTGAAGCAAAATGAAGCACTTCTGTAGTGAAGTGTCATGCATGTTTGCGCAGAAGAAAGCTAAGCCCAGTCCTCAAGGCTTACACTTCTTCCAGGAAAGCATCATAAAACTGAAAATCTTTGAATTATTAAATATTTTATTTTAGAATGTAAGATAAGGTGTGTATTATTACCAAGCCTTTATTTCCCCTGGCCCAAGTGATTTCTAAAAACTATGTATCAAGAAGGCTTTTCTAGAAAGACTAGAGATGTACATGTTTGCAAATACAGTGGCATCTCGACTCACGAACTTCGTAATCCATTCCACGACTCTGGTTGCAACCTGAATTGGTTGCGAGTCAAGTCAAATTTCCCCATAAAGTTCAATGTAAATAAAGTTAATCGTTCTGACCCCTACGAATGTGGTCTCGAGCCGATTTTGGTCACGAGCCAAGTCAAATTTGCCCATAAGGTTCTATGTAAATAAGGTCAATCTGTTCTGTAAATATTTCTTTTATCACAAAAATTTGAAACAAAGTGACAAAGAACAACACAGTGCAGTGCAGTGCAGTGCAGTACAGTATAGTGGAGAACACTAACCTAGGTGGGGGGGAGGTTATTGTTTGGAGGGAGAGTCCCCCTCCATAAGGACACTGGGGAGATCTCCTTCAGGGGTTTCCTCTCTTCCTTGTCTCTTAGCTGCAGGGTCAAGTTTGGTGAAAAATCTGCACATTCTGGTCACCTTCATCACCGCTCTGCACGTTCTTTTTACCACCCTGCTTGCTCTGCACTTTCTTTGGAGCCATTTTTCAATAAGCTTCACAGCACGTGACCACAGGTCTGTCTGCAACCACAAGCGGGGAAGATGGCCGCAATCGTGCTTGGGGTGGGGGGATGGCCGTGATTGCGATTGTGCTCGTGCAGGAACATGACCGTGATCGTGGTCATCACCCAATGTGGAAGTTCGTGACCTGAGGCAAATTTTTTCTGAAATTTCTGTTTGTGACTTGATTTGGTCATGAACTGAGGCATTTGTGAGCTGAGGTTCCCCTGTACTGAAGCCATTTTTAATCCTTTCTGTAAGGACATGAGCCTCGCTGGGTCAAACCAAAGGTCCATCTAGTCCAGCACTCCATCCACACAATGGCAGACCAGCTGCCCACAGGATCCCTCTAGCAGGATGGGTACAAAAGCTTTGTCTGCCCAAGCTCCTCAGCAACTCAGGCAGGCAGGCCGCCTCTGATGAAGGAGGCAGCCAGTGTCAGGAGACAGTGATGCTGCAGTTTACGATCAAGAGAACATTACAGTTTATTCAGACACATGGCAGAATTTGCATGCTTCCAGCCACAGCACCATTGCTAGCCCTGTCCTCCATGAATCTGTCCAATTTTAAAGCCAGCCAAGTTGGAGGCCATCACATTACCTATGGCTTGGAATTCCATAGTTTATACATTGTGTAAAGAAGTACTACATTTTATCTGTATCAAACCTCCCACCAATCAGTTTCATGCAATGGTCCAGAGTTCAAGTGTTATGGGAGAGAAAAGTCTCCCTCTCCACACCATTATTTTAAACACCTCTATCATGTCTCTCCTTACTCGCCTTTTTTCTAAGCTAAACAGTCCTGTTAAGCTTCCCAGCATAGGTAAGTCTTCCATTCCATATAAAAATTACTGATCTAAGATACTTTTACTGATAAACACTTGGGGATGCTACTATTAATGCTGTTTCCCATCATGTGAGTATAGTCACTAGATCATAATGTGGAAGAAATGTGCATTCAGTTAATGTAATTCTAATCTAAAAATTACAAGTGAAAAAACCCACTGTAAGCTATCCTGCAATTGGAGCAGCATCTGGGTTATCCCACCTTTTTCTTATTATTTGAGGTTTGGGGCTGCAGAATTAGACCTGACACTAGAAGATGCTGACTCAGTTATAAAACCTTCTAACTGTTCCCATGTTTTAGGAATGGGATTGAAACCATTAGTAGAGACAAATGCAACATAATATGTTTGTTAATGGAAAATTGAAAAAAAAAGTCACTCATAGACTTGAGATTATGTAAAGCTTCTTAAATTCATATGGGTGCTTACCATTCCTAATGGACAAGAGAGTCTTCTCCAATAGATTTTTTTTTCCAGACCAGATTTCTCTAAGCTTCACCAAGATTTCACCTCACCAATAGAAGCAGGTTTAATTAAATATACAAGTATAGTTTATTCAGACAGTAATTACGGATGTGCCTTTTAAAAGATTTTAAATGCATGATAATTTTTTGTGAAAACCAGCTTTGGGAACATAAAAGGCAGCTTTATGTTCCTAATGAATCTGCTCCAGGTGGCCACTGGGTGGTGAGGAACAGGAGTGTTTCGTGCCAGATATGCAGAAGAACCCGACCATGTAGGGTCCCCTTCCCAGCCTGCGCATTAAGACCCCTGCGAAGAATGGCTTATCCATTTTCCTGCCCCTGTCAAAAACAGCTGGGCAGACGGCTGGTTTTCAACTTGTGAACGCATTTACTTTAACTTGAAGCATCATACTAAGGTTCAGGCCTCTGCCTTGATTTACAAGGGAGATGGCACATGACAAACGAGAAGTGCTAACCACTAAAGACGGCATGACCTCACATAACTTGGCTAGAACCTGGCCCTGAATAGCAGCACATGTTGCCGGTTAATTGGGCTGCAGGATGGCTCACGCAGCAACAGTGATGACTATCTTGAGTTGTTCCAAGCACTAAACTAACAAACTAAAGTATAAATAGAGCTGTATGTATTTAAAGCCCCGCGATACCTGTGGGACAGGAGGTTGCCTGCTACCTTGAACTCCTTGGTGATTGATTCCAATGCTCTTGAAGGAGTATGTGGGGGTTAATACCACTAAAATCGGGTAGAACAGCAAATCCTGGGATTGTGAAACAAAACAAACCTCCCCTCTCTTTCCACCACAAGCAAAATCTGACCTCCCTCTAAAGTCAGCAATCAGCATAGGCAAGTAAAGTGCATTGCTGTGCTGTATATTATTTATCTCTCACTTGGAGTTATTTAAAGGGAAAGGGATATGGAGAGGAATTCTGAAGAGAGCAGCCCCGTGCCCTGCAGCAGGAATTGCTTATGGCTGCTTGAAAAGCACATTTTAATGCCTCTTCTGTGAGGTTTAAAAATAACTAATCCAATTTAAACCCTGGGATGAGATGGGACTTTGCAAGCTTAAGTTTGATTTGCAGGAATCTATGACCTGCTATATTCTTGCTGAAGGTGCCTTGCCATCCACAGCTTGTGCATAATCCACCATGGATTAGTTTTAGCCATTGGGTAAGGAGGAAAGGGAATGTTTCCTGCCAGATATGCAGTGACACAAGTTAGTAGGAAATGGCTAGTAGCCAAGCAACAAAATTTCTGGAACAAGATGGAAACCTGGCCTGCTTGCTGTGCATAGTTACTAAAGCCATGGTCGCTGTTTTCCAGCACTTGATTAGTGTTCTAGGGACAAGCTATTTGTTGGAAGAGACAAAGAGCAGCTCACTACTGTGTCTGTTCTCTCTCTTTACCTTGTAAAGTATAAAGCAAAACAGCAGAGAGTGATGTCACTGCATTTGGCATGTCCCTGTTGCCACCTCACATTGCTGACCAGTGAGGAAAAGATGGAGAGATACATTGAGTCTAGGTTCACATGATCACAACAAAGATGATAAGGCACAATAAGGGAACTACTAATTAACATCACCACATGTGCTGATCCGATTTTTTAAATTACTGTTGCATGGTTTGCTGTATCATCCAAACCCAAGCAGTATGGCTTGCTTGGTGCGGGCAGCAACCCTCAAAGAACCCAACAACAACCCACGGAGGGCCGCAGTGTTAGTTCACCATGTCACGGCTGTGCGAAGCAGCTCACCTTGTGCAGTGGTGTAGTGGAGCCAGGCTCAGAGGAAATGTTATTAGCAGCGATGCTCCTTTCAGCTGCTGCAGAGTTCCTGTTTCCTCTGAGCTTAGCCACACTCCGGAGAGAAGCTGGATGGAACTGGTCCTCTTCACAGATTAGTATATCATTCCCTGTATTCATGAAAATATTGGGGGGTGGTTTAGACTTGACAATTAAGACTCATTAGCTTAACAAAAGACCTGTTCTAAATTGCTAGAGCTCTTTCAACACAACTGCCTGAATTTTTGGACTCTTCCTGGGGACAAGGCTATGGGAAGTCTTCATGGTGAGCACCTGCACTTCCAAATTTATCACTATAGCACTGAAAGTGTGATGATGGCATGCCATGCCTAATTTGCATTAGATACTATGAAGAAGGGAGGTGAAAGGGGCAGCTGGCCAAGAGCCAGGCGGTAGAATTAGATTCTGCCAGTGCAGCATGTTCCTGTTGCTTCGGTAGGCACTCTACCCTAGAAATGGCAGCATTTCAGTCCTCACACCTTTTCATTTCCAAGGGGAACAATCCATAAAAACATGAAATGTAAAAATACAAAAACTTCTGCATTACCAATTAGGAAAGGCAGGACCAATGAAATGGGGTTCCAACAGGTCAAAAGATACTGCCTCTTACTAGGTTTCTTGGAATAATTTAAATGATGAATGCACCTCCCTTTAAAGCTTAAAATGTGTGGGCAACTTATAACCCTCCAAACATTCAGGCCTACATTAGCCATCACCATAGGCTATGTTGGCTGATTTACTGGTAAGATCTAACTGGGCATTTCTGATTTGTAGCAGTCTCTCCTAGTTCCAAAGCTGTTAGTTACATTGCAATCCTATGCATGATTAGACAGGAAAAAAGTCTTACAACTCCCAGAAGTCCCCAGTCATCCATGTTGGCTGAGGCATTCTGGGAGTTATAGGGTTTTTTCTGTCTAAACATGATAGGATAGCACCCATAGGTTTAGTATGGTTTAACACTCCATACTTCCTTAAGAACCCTACTTACAGATTGCAAGCTCGTGTATAATATTTTCAGACTAATAAGTAGACAACTGTTAAAGAAAAACTTCCGTCACAGTTCCCAAGTAAGGCTTTTATAGTAGGTTTTAATTCCAATGCTCACAGCAGTGCCAACAGAATTGATAGCATTATTTCAGTCCTAAACATATTAATATGTATCCTCAGAATGTTTGCCCAGACTACCAGATGACTGCAGGTTAGCACCAATATAAGACATCCAGATACTGTCCCACTTGCATAGTTCCAGGATCTAGTCTTTCTGATCTGCACTGAGGAAATATAGGCACGTGTGTAGTAATATATTCTAGAGCTATAAATCTATGTGGCTGAAGAGTGGCAAATTATCACCCTGCAAAAGCAGTAATACCAACATACATAACAGTATGTCAAACCTGACCTCAGAACTGTCATTCTTTTCCATTCCTGCAAGTTCCACCTCTTAGAATGTGCAGAAAAGTATTTAAAACTAAAATTACGGGTTGCTTAAGACAGTCCGTTCCACTGCACTTGTATACAGCTCTAATGCACATGCACTGGAAGCAGTAGGAACCATATAGAAGAGTCCTTCATGCCGTGTGCCTTGTGTTCTGCAAGCCAGCACTGCACCATGCCATGGGGATACTGGGCTTGGACTCTGGAGCAACAGCAAGGCAGGCTTGCCACATTTTGAAGTAAGCAAGCTAATACATTGCCGTCTAAAGTGGGGCAGGGTCAGCAGTCTGGTGACTAAAAACTATCCACAGCACCACTTCTATCATATAAGAGTTGTTAACTCCTATAATGGAGACCCCTACTTCTGTTTTGGTTTGGTTTTAAAGTGTACACCATCCTTCCTTTCGTTGTTCTAGATCCAATCCACAGAATCCAAACAAGGTCATAATGACAAAGGCACAAGTGTGTGCGCATGTGTACACATAAATGTGTGTGTATGTCCATGTGTCCGGAAGACGTGTAAAAATGAGTTGATGGAGATCTAAAAGTGCGGCGTTAGGGCCAAGTGGGAGAAAAGAATCCCAGCCTGGGCTGTACCTTTTGCTGTGAAATTGCTTTGGCAGATGGGAACTCTGAGCTTGCAGCATGTGTTTTTGTGTCTTCCTCCCCACCAGGCTGACAAAAATTCCAGTTCCATTATATAAGGAACTAAACTGAACGGTCGGCAGTGGGCATATGCTTCAGGGCAAGAGTACACAAACAGAAGTCATCAGTAAACGATTTGGCTAGAAGACAAATAGGGCATTTATCCTGGTCTCAGTCAGGTACCACAAGACCCTGCCAGCACAGCTGCTGCCCATGCCCTGCCTCTACCTACCCTGCATTCCCAAACAGAGCCTTCCATTTGCCATTCCTAACAGCGAATGGAAGACTAAAGGCAGAGGAAGGAGATGGGTTCCGGTTGCTCAGCAACCAAAATGTAGAGCATCCAGACTTCGCTCTTGATGCCACAAGCAGCTCAGGCTAGGGACAGAAGCATCTTGCTCCATGAACAAGAAAAGTTACATTCTTGTCTCTGCCATACATTATTGCATAGTGTAAAAACTCCTGTGTTAGCATAAGATCCAAACCTCATGACCAAGAATTGAAGACCATGACTCAGGAATCTGAAGATGAAGCATTATGGGGAAGCCACAAGGGACTGGGATTCCTGCCTCCGTCAAAGCCTTGCAACGATAGCCCTGAATTATAGCATTTTCTACAAATACCAAGGACTCCTACTAAAGACATTGTGGTTTGGAATGGATTTGCAAATTCAATTAAAAACAGAGGTTGCCTTCCTTGCAAAACTCTGTTGCATGGTTTCTCAGTACAGAAAGGGCACTTCCCTAAAAGAGCCCAGATTAGGGATCTAGACTGTTTATAATTGGGGCGCGGTGTAGAATTTTTGCCCTCAGTGTGAAAAATGTGGGCATCTCTGGTTTGCTTTTACATGAGTGATGAAGCATCCCAGCCGCTGTAACAAAGTGTCAGGACAAAAGCAAGTTAAGCAGCCATGTGAGAAGGTAAGTGCTATTTTCAGATCTCCATATAAATAAATATATATATATAGCCAGGTAATCATAGGTTACTGACACACTGAAATTTAATAAATCACTGGATCCAGATGATATCCATGCTGGAGTTCTCAAAGAGCTCAAATATGAAATTGCTGACCTTCTTACAAAAATATATAATGTTCCTAAAATCACTCTCTGTACCAGAGTTCTGGAGAATGGCCAATGTAACACCTATTTTTTAAAAGGGATGAAGGGAAGAACTGAGAAAGTACAGGCTGGTTAGTTTAAAGTCTGTTCCAGGTAAATAGCTGGAAATCATTATTAAATAAAGAATTAGCAAGCATATAGCTGAAAACAAATCATTTTTCCCCCAAAGGTCAATACTGTCTCACTAACCTTTTAGAGCTCTTTGAGAGTGTCAATAGACATGTGGACAGTGGTAGACATTGGAGAAAGTTCCTCACCAAAAACTCCTGAGCAAACAGCCATCATGGGATAAGAGAGGGAGGTCCTGTTATGGATCAGTATCAGTAAAAATACAAAGCAGAGAGTGGGAATAAACTATGATTTCTGCAAAATGAGGGATGCAAACCATAGAACCCCACAGGTTCCTGTATTACGAGCAACGCTTTTCAACCATTTCATAAATGCTCAAGAATCAAGAGTGAGCAGTGAAGTGGCCAAGTTTGCTGATGGCAGCAATCTATTTAGGATGGTTAAAAAGGGATTGTGAGGCCCTTCAAAGGGATGTCTCCAAGCTAAGAGAATAGGCATCCAAAAGACAAATATGGTTCCACAAGCATATGGTATGCTTGTGACAAATATGGTAAGCAAGCATAAAGTGCTGCACATTGAGGGAGAGAGGTGAATCCCA